AATAACTAGATCTGCAGTCAGGGAGCAGAACTAACACCAGACACCGCATAGTTCTCTAACTCTAAACCCAACAGCAACCAAGTGACTAGTGGTGAAGTGCTTTGAGATCCTCCGTTGAAATGTGCTGAAGAAGGGCAAAGGGCTATACCCATTCAGCCATCTCTGCTTATTTCTTTAACTTCAACTTGTTGCTCTTGCAGGAGTAATTAATCATACAACCATTAGTGTTGTTGAGGTACGTTCCTGGCTACCCCATGTTGTGTATGGGTTACAATAGTCGATAGGAAACTAAATTTCTGGGGTTTTTGAGCATGGCTCCTGAAAGATGCAAGTTGGCTGAGCTGCTGTTGAGATCAGAGGGAGATGAAAGGCTCCTTAGCACAGCGCTGCTTCCCTTCCTGCCAGCAGCCTCCGCTCGGCCAGTAGAGAAAGCATCTGTCGATATTTTCTTGTCTCCCCCTCAACTCTGGCTAATGAACAGCACGACATCTAGACAGCTAGGTAGAAGAAAAGCCTGTGACATAGCTCCTGATCAAAGTATAAGCTCAAATCTTAAAGGCTGAGGATGGAGTAAACAGCTTGTAAGGCAAGTTTCCATGATTATATACAGGCAAATCTGAGTGTATTCTGTGTGTGTTTTGTATTGGCTCTGGAAAGGTGCAGTGTTCATGTCCTGCTGTCTTGCAACGGGGTCTGTCTGCACGTGTCCATGTGGATTGCCTGTGAGTTCCCAGCGTGCTCCTAAATCTGCAAGCGCTACCGAAGTTGTGATGTAACCTCAGACAGAAGAGACACTATGAAAAAAAAAGAACTAAAAGGGAAAAAAGAGACAGTTTAAAGTCTTTTTAATTGTTATCTTTTGAGCTGAGAAATCCGAAAGATTCCGAGTGACGTTGCCTAGCACTAAAAAAAGACATGATTTCATCTGACCACGCAGCATCTCTCTTTTGGCTAGACCAGTTTTGTCTAGCTGAATTACAAGCCCTGGAGTTTTTGGGTTTTTTTTCTCATTCTGAACAGATTTGCACAACCCCCACCCTGCCAAATGATCTTGCTGTGCAGCTGCAGCCTTTCTATTCTGCTACAGTGCAGAATTATGCATGAACCAGCAGAAGGAGCTCCAAGTCTGGTCGTTGGTGCAGAGCTGCTTTCTTCTGCCTAGGAAAGGCAGCGCAGCAGCCGTGTCTAGAAATCATTACTTGTCTATCGATTCTTCCCCTTTGCGCTTTGAATTCTGCTCGCCAAGCAGCCCAAAATCGCACTGGAAAAGAGCTTTGCTCATTTCTTTGTGTTGAATCAAATTTGGCACAATGGCCCAGAGTTCTGATGAGGGAGCAAACCACTTCAGAGCAGAACAGGAAAATACCAACCTGTCATACTTTTTCCCCAGAATTGCTCTTTCTCAGGGTTTGCAGATGAATCTCCCTCCCCCCACCAGTTCTTGTGTTCCACCTTGTCCAGAACCTGGGTATGTCCAAAAAAAAAAAAAACCAACCCCAAAAAGCCATTCTTGGGGCACCTCAAGCTATTGCAAAGTGCTGCATCACAGTGTCACAAGAAAATGTATTCTTACGGAATTATCAGCCTGACTTGCCAGAGCACAGATGTTTTTCTTTGCATGCCCACAACCACACGGTAGTTCTGCATGCCATTGAGAGCCACGGTCTTGATCGTTCAGGCCATGGAAGCCATTTGATAAATATGATAAATATGCGAACCTCTGGCTGTTTGTTCAAGCAGAACCAGCCAGGAGCTTTTGACGTTCATCCAGCTTAGATGTTAATGCCAATAGCCTAGATCCTTGAGCAGGGCCACACAAACAACATTGAGATTATGGGTCTGAGCTTGTCCACAGAGGGAAGTGGCAGTGTGTGCATGGGTATGTTTCAAGCAAGGAAAGACATTTTTCAGGAGTTTGGACCAAAAAGGCTATTTGGAGAAAGAACTGAATGGGATTTGCTAGGGATCTGGCCACGGGAGTCTGCCTTTTTCTCTCTGGGGAAAACAGACTATGGATTACATTCTTTGCAGTGTAGCTCCATCAATGTCAGTGGACTTCAGCCAGACTGTCCTTTCTCTACTTCTCCAGCCTTCCAAGTGTATAACATTTTGCTGATCCAGGCGATTTCTTGGCATTTCTGTATCATGATTAAAATACATTAGCTCACCCTCCACAAATTGGTTTAGAGCTCGGCCCAGCTCAGCATGGCAGACTGGATGCATCACGAGGCTGACTGCTACTCTGCAGCCACAGGATGCAGAAGACATTGGGCCATGTCATTAAAGCAATGTGGTTTTAAGGTCTTCTAAAGCTGGAAACAATTGCTGTATGTCCCTTCGAAGCAGCTTTAGATTCACAGCTCTTTTGTGTTGTAGAACATTAGGTAGTAATCTTGGTGGCAAAAGGACTATTTGCCTTTGAAATTAATTCCTGCTCCTTTGGGTCAGTCAAAGATCCAAACCACTTACCAGACAGAAGAAGATACATTTCCCAACTCTAGCCATGTAAGGGACCTGTACCAGATCCTAACCTTCCCACAGAGCCTAAAATTCCTCACGAGTCTCTGCTGGGAAAAGTGGCCAAGGCACTAAAGGCTGGTGGCCTCCAGGAGAACGTCTGTACTCTTGGCGGGGTTCAGGGCTAGAGTTTGCCTACCAGAGCAGCCTCTGCAGTTGATGACACTGCCCACATGTTAACCAGCAAAACGGCTCAGAGCAGGACGGTGGCAGAAGAAGGGATGGAAGAGGTAGGGCAGAGGTGAGTTCTGCCCTTATGGGACGTCATTGGCTTGAGTCACATAGTGTGGTAAATTCAAATTGACAGCTGGGGCCTGCCAACAGGGATGGTACAGAAGTTGTCTCAGGTGTCCTAGAACTGACCCTGACCAGGTTTGACCCCAGGACAGCAAGGGCTCTGGGCCTGTACGCTGCTCTGCAGGCCTTCTGTGGGAGAGAGGAGCTTGGGAACAACAGAGTAGAAAACCTGTTGATGAGTAACTCTATTCCAGCATGCAGGTACAAATGCAGAACATCTCCGGGTTGTTCTTTTTGGAGTAAGTCTGAACTATTAACTGTGATGAATTTGTTAAAGGTTAATAAGTATGAATCACGTAGCGGTTTTTGTCCACCATAAAGAAAGATCTTGGGAACTCCCTGCAGTGGACAGAGAGCTGCATGATGTGATGGTATTTGCTGTAAAGAAGGAGAAATCAGTCAGACATAGTCAAGATGACCTCTCCACTTGGTCTGAACCTTTTGAGGATTTATCAACCCTTGACTGGTAAATTCTATAGCAAGGGGAAGTGAATTAATTCTCTTTCCTAAAGCCATACTAAAGCCTTAGCTTTCTATCTAAAAGAGGTCCTGCATTATACTGCGGCAACGGGTACAAGTTGTCTGATGAGCTCCGTGAGTGCCCTTTGTGAGGCTTTTTCCTTTGTCTGTAAGTACCCAACTGTGTGTAGCCTTCCTGTGCGCGGGCCGGCCAGCGCTGGTCCCGCAAAGCATGTGTTTGTGTGTGGTAGGAACCGCTGACCGAGTCGCATTTCTTTTACACAAGTTGCTGTGGTACCTGGGTGCTAATCACCGTATTTTGCCTTCTCTAGCACCTTCCCAGCCGAGGATCTCAAAGTGTTTTACAAACATTAATTAATTTAGCTTCACAAGCCTCGTGTGAGGTAGGTGGGTGATGCCATCCCGCTTTCCAGATGAGGACACTGATCTACTTGGGTAGAGTCACCTCGCTCCTGCGGTTAAAACCAGGGGAGGCAATGGCCTCGAGATGGCCCTTGCGAAGCCTACCACCCATCTTGCGGCCGGGGCTGCCCTCCCCACAGAAGGAAGAGCAGTTCTGCGTGTGGCAGAGGGGATCCAGAGATGGCCAGAGCTTACAGCAACCTGCTTCAGAGCCCTGCTCCTCTCTCCTCCTGCCCTTCTCTGGAGTTGTGGTTTCCAGCTGATCACGCTACCCTGAGGGTTGTCCCTCGTCAGTGGTTTTGCGGGGAAGGAAATACAGAAGTAGCTATATTGCTGTGCTCTGTAGCCTACACTTTGGTGGTGATATGAGTCCCTTCTGTTCCACTACCATTCACCCAGAGCTGCCCTTTCTACACCATCCTAGACAACAGGTTTTTGTAGGTCCCAGCTCACTGGAGCTCCCCCTTTCCATGGGAAAGCTGTAAGGGCAGCGTCCCCTCACCCCGTTCCTGCACAGGAGCTGTGACTCACCTGTGTGGGAATTAACGCTTTTAGAACCTGAAAGTGTAGCATTGCCAGTCCATCCATTGCTACCAGTTTGGACTGAGCAGAATCGGCCTTTTCTGCATTGCGTGCAGCCATTTTCGGCTGAAACCAAACTGGTAAATTTAAAATGAACCCTATGGAAAAGTCCTACAAACTTTCCTAAAGAAAAGAAGGAGTTGCCCTTTGTAGGCAGAGAAGCACTGAAGCGGTGCGGGTCCCTGCAGCGTGGTGCTTCCTCCAAAGCAGCTCCGCTCCATTTTGGCGCAGGAACCGGCGCCAAGGGGTCCTCGGGGTCATGCTGCTCAGGGCTGGTCACCGGGGCAGGCTGGGGCAAAACCGCTTCGCAGGCGCAGCTGGGAGGGAGGGTGACAATGAGCTCGGAACAGCAAGCGTGCGATGGGTGAGCGGGTTGAACGGTGCGGTTGGCTGCCTTCGTCTGGTACCGCGCACGGCCCGGCAGTGTTTGTGCCTCCTTAGGTCACACAGGACTTTTCCATGAGGGCAGGCAAACCTCTGCCAAAACAAAAGTAATGGATCTTTTCCAAATCTTCACCTTGTGCTCCAGCGTAGGCAGCCTCCGAGCTGAGAGTCTAGGCAGCTGCTGCGTTCCTCTGTAGTTTGCCATCTCCAGCACGTCTCCCTGTTGTTTGGGACCCTGGTTATTAAGTGATAAGAAGCGATAGCATGACGAAGAAAGACTATTGACCCAATTGCACTCTGACTGATCTGTTTCTTTTTCCCCCCAATCATCGATGCAGGTGTGAGCTACTCCAAGTCGGTTCCTCCAGCCTACCCACCACCCCAGGATCCATTAAATCAGGGACAATACATGGTGACAGATGGCATATCCCAGTCCCAGGTCTTCGAGTTCACCGAACCCAGACGCAGCCAGGCACCATTCTGGCAAAACTTCAGCAGGTTAACACCATTCAAAAAATAATACCTAGAGAGATGGAGAATTTTAACTTAAAAGAACTAAAATTTAAAAATAAAAATAAATAAAATTATATTTATAGATGGACCTTTTTTCGGAGAAGCACTGTTGCAACTAAATATATATACATATATATATATATACACACACATTTTAAAAATAATAATATATATACATATATGTATATATATAGAAGGACCAAAAACTTTTTTTGTTGTTTTTGGGAAGCAATCTGCTACTAGATACTAGGAAGCACCAATGATTTCTAACCATGTGACCTATTTTATTTTATTCCATTGGTTGGACATTTTTTTTTTCCTTTTCTTCTTCATCTTCATTCAAGTCGTCATTGGCATCCCAGAACGCTTTCTCGCTTGTGTGAATTCGTCATCGAAGTTCCTCATGGACTACATTGGTGTATATTTTATTTGATTTTATTTATGGGGGGGGGTTGTTTGTTTTCTGGAGTGCTGGGAGATCTCTGCTCCCTCTCCGTCCCCTCCTTGGCTGTCCCCAGAGTTACCATTTCAATGAAGAGCATCGACCCTGTCCCTGTCCCCGTCCTGCATTCTCTGGTCCAACGCGTGCCTGTCTGGATGTGCTCCCCTGTGCACCATGCTCTGCTGCGCAGTATTTCTCTGTCTTTAACTGTTTTGTTGTGGGCAGGTGAAAACAAGCAGAAGGGGTATCAGCTACTTAGGAAGTGAGATGGGTTTTCCACAGTTCATTTTTTGCATTTTTTTTTTTTTTTTTTTAAGCGCTGTCTTTTTCTCAATTCAGTGTGATTTGTTCACACTTGGAGTTAAGACTGAGAAAAGAATATCAGGGGCTTTTACTTCTTTTGCCTTTAGTTTGATTTCTTTTTAAGCTGAGACATGACTCTGAAAAGCCCACTCCTATCTTTGTTTTTCCATGCAAAGATAAAAAGCTTAAAACCTGGCGGCTTCACGCCCTCCATTCCAGCAAGTGGAAAATTGGCTATTAGGCTCCAACAAATGGCCAGTTTTCTTTCTTCAGGAACTAAGGTCCCATCCTTTGGCCACACTCCTGCCTGCACAGTACTGCGTTAATGAACCACTAATTGCCATTTACAGGACCAATGATCCCAAAAACGAGGACCATGACTGCTCTCACTGCCTGCTCTACGCTGTTGCGTATTAAGATCCCCAGCTTCGCTCGGGCACTGACCTGCCGAGCAAAGCATGAGCTGCCAGTAGTGCCCCGTTAGCGGAAGGCTCATTGCTTAAGTAATTGGAAGTATTTACCTGATATTTAATGCACCCAAGCTACAGAGGAGCTGGGAACTGCCTTTCAGGAAAGAGATGGATGTGACCTGAGAAGTTTAGCCTTATGACCGTGATTACAGGACCTGATCTAAATCAGTGACCAGTTAAAATCGAAATACCTGAACATCAGTGGTT